AGTTCCCGAAATTTCAGCCCCGCAGCTTTTATAGGTCTTGAGATGAAAGTGCGTGACAGACGCACAGACAACCTTTCGTCAATATGCGTTTTTGCATTGTATAGCTGCAAAAAACGCATAAAAAATACCTGGTCAGGTTCCAAAAGGTCTGGCGGTACTTCTTGCATTTGCACCGATGGAGCATGACGAATTTGCCTCAAATGATCCAATACCTTCTGCTTTAGCGCAGCAATGTACTGGAATTTCATTTAACTTATTCATAAACAACAATGAGGTCAACAATGCAAACGCGGATAGAAACAACATAACGTGAACTACAGAATCAAAAAAATGGACATTATAATTTACAGCGTTTCCGAAAACAAAAACAGCAAAATCTTGCTACATTGAGACAGCGGTCCAAGAAAAAGGGGACATTTTTTAAGAAAACAAAAGGAAGAGGGCTTCGATTCAAAAAAAAAAAGAAAAAAAAAACTACAAAGACCACAGTGCCGCTAATTAGAATGAGCGTCCTTATTGCAGTATAGCAAAATATTGTAATTTATCACCTTCGCAGAAAAGAAAATTTAGACTGTTCGCAACCACACTTCAAAACTGACCTCTTTCGTATTTTGATTCTCTTGTCGCTTTGCTAGTGTCGGCCTCAGTGTAAACTCAGGCGCAAAGAACTGTAGATACTCTGAAACTATCAACTTTTAGGAAAAACATGAATAAAGCTTAGTTTTATATATAAGCATTACAAGAATTTACTGTTCACACTATGCACATTTATGTAAACAAATTAAACACTTTGCACAAGAATTCATTTTCTCACACAACTAGTTTGAAACTAACCGTAAAAAGAATGATTTATGAATAATACCTTACAAAATTAAAATTTAAAAAGTTTCAGACCAATCGCGGTCTATAACTGCCTTATTTCGAGCATCAATTTATTCACAGATAATTTCCCAAATGAAAATATGTTCCCAGTTGCAGTGTGAGTCCTGACAAGCAGTGAGCACTTTACAACAACTGTAAACCCAGGCTGGAACGCACTAGACGAGCCGGTGCGACCATGCGTTTTTGCACTAAACTTGAAGTAATTAAGTTAATTGCGTGAACGGGTTGTTTCTTCACACCTACCTTGTGCGCTCAATACCGTAAATCATCATAAATTTCGCATAAATGAAAACAAACAATTTCCGTACAGCGGCCGTTTTTTGAAAATGACCCAGCTGTTCAATGAATAATTTTCCCGCCAAAAACACAAGTGCCCGTATACGAGAACCGCGCATGCTTAGAGGCTGAATTTGAAATCTTTGAGTTATATGTGGACGGGGAACATAACCTTAAAATTTCAGCTTTCTGTCTTTTCTCGTTCCGAGTTATCAGTTTTCCCCCAAAACTTTCACCCTCTCGTACGCGGGGCCTAGACTTGCGTGAGGGTTGGCACCGCGGTTCTGGGGTTGCACTTTAGCGGGGAATCTACTAGCAAAATCTTGGCGCTGGAATTTGCTTGGTTGTTGAGTTGAAATACTCGAACGCGTGCACACACACAAACACAAACACACACACGCACGCACGTACACGTACACGTACACATACATACACAGGGTCGCCGGAATATGCGT